GGCTGCAGCCCCTGCTGCAGTGGGTTGCCATGGACTACCGTGTGTAGCCAGCAGCCAGCAGCCAGCGTGAGCGGCCAGCAGGCACAGTGAGCAGCCGTCCAGAAGCCAGCGACTGATCTGCCTCGCCCGGGAAGAGTGCAATGATGGTGCCAACTTGGGCCAGTGAAATGTCCTCCACAACTAGACTGAGGAACAAAACGACAACAACTTGTCTGTTCCCCTTCCCCCCAATTCCCCTGTACTGTTCCCATCCCCCCAATTCCCCAATACAAATCTTAAAAAAAAAAAGAACAGACCAGCTAGAGGTTTGACAGAATGAGGGGATGGGACAGATGAGAGGGGCCCTGTTGGGGCCAGAATAAGCCTCAAATATTGTCAACACCCTGCCCCTACAAAGGAGTCCAGCTTGAAGGGGATCAGACTGTGGAGCCATTTGTGAGCCCCGGGGCACTGTTAAAAACAATAATGCAATCGGCTAGCAATTAGTGAAGGCCAATAGCTGGGTCTGATACAAACAGAGGCAGAAGTACCAAAGCTTAAAGTGGAAACCAGGGAAAGAGACAGTCAAAAAGAGCCTCCCTGATACTACAACCATAACCTGGGAGTCAGGGAAACTGTGTGTGCATGCCCAAGGCAGCACCCTGTGATCAGTGACATCAGAGGCTACACACTGAGAGGGAACAGACTTCACTGAACTAGTCCAGATAAGCCACTAAACAAATAAACGAGCAAAAACACAAATAACAAGCCCAGAAGAGCACTGGAATAACTCTCTAGAGTTGCTATGATGTATTACCTAAAATGTTCAGTTTTCAACAACAACAAAAATTATAATATATTCAAAGAAAAAAAATACACAGGGAAAAACAATCAGGCAATAGAAATTGCCTTTGAGGAGATTAGATGTTGACTTAGCAGACAAAGATTTCAAAGCAACTGTTATAAATATGTTCAAAGGCAGATATATAAAACACTCCACTCAACAAGAACAGAATACATTTTCTTCTCAAGAGCACATGAAGCATTCTCCAAGACAGACCATATGTGAGGCCATAAAAAAAGCCTCAATCAGGTTTAACGGCATTTAAATCTCATGTAAAGTATGTTCTCCAACCACAGCTGAATTCAAGTAGAAATCAATAAGAGAAGGAAATATGGGAAATTCACAAATATGCAGAAATTAAATAACACACTCCTAAATAACACATGAGTTAAAGAAGACATTCCAAGGGAAGTTAGGAAATATTGTACTTTGCGATGAACAAAAATGAAAGCACAACAGCAAAACTTATGGGATGGAGCTAAAGCAGTAAGTGTAGGGAAATTTATAGCATTATCACAAAAGAAAAAAATCTCAAATCAATGACATTACTTTCACCTTAGGAAACTGGAAAAAGAAGCGCAAACCAAATCTAAAACAAGCAAGAGGAAGGAAATAATAAAGAATAGAGCAGAAATAAATGAAGGAGAGAATAGAAAACAACAGAGAAACGTTAATAAAACCAAAAGTTGGCTCTTGGAAATGATCAATAAAATTGACAAACACTAGCAAGACTGATCAAGGAAAAAAAGAGAGAGACTCAAGTTACTAAAATCAGGAATGAAAGAGGGGACATCACTACTGATCTTACAGAAATTTATTAATATGTAAATTTATAAATACACATGAATTCTACAAATTTAGGCAAATAAATTAGATAAATTGATGAAATGGACAAATTCTAAGGAAGACACATACTATCAAGACTACTAAGATACAAATTACTCAAGAAGAAACAGAAAATCTGAATAGAACTACAGTAAGAAAGAAAATTGAATTAATAATTTTAAAACTTCCTAAAAGAAAACCCCAGGCTCAGATGGCTTCACTGATTAATTACACCAAACACCTGAAGAATAATATCAATCCTTCACAAACTCCTCCCAAAAACAGAAGAGGAGATAATACTTCCCAACTCACCCTATGAGGCCAATCTTATGCTAATACCAAAGACATCATAAGAAAACTATGGACCTATATCCCTTATGAATATAGATACAAAAATCATCAAAAAAATATTAGCAAACTGAAGCCAACAATATATAAAGTGGATTATACACCATGACCAAGTGGGATTTATCCCACGAATTTGAGGCTGGTTTAATACTTGAAATCAATCAATGTAATATACTATATTTAATAGAATAAAAGACAAATACTACATAATCATATTAATAGATGCAGAAAAAGCATTTAACAAAATCCAACTCTCTTTCGTGATAAAAACAAAACAAAACACTGAACAAAGCAGGCCCAGAATGGAGCTTCCTCAATCTGATGAAGGGCAGCTAATATACAAAGAGCTAATATACTTAAGGTGAAAGATGAATGCTTCCCCCTAATATCAAGAGGAAGACAAGGACGTCTAACCACTTCTAGGGGACTGGAAGGTTCTAGACAGGGCAACTAAGAAGAAAAAGAAATAAAAGGCAGCCAAATTGAATAGGAATAAATAAAGTCATTTCTATTCACAGATAACATGCACTTGTATATAGAAAGTCCCAAGGAATCCACTAAAACTATTAGAATAAATAAGTTTATCAAAGTTCACAAGCGATCAGTATATAAAAGTCAATTGTATTTCTATACACCAGCAATGAACAATCCAAAATGTAATTAAGAAAACAAGTCTATTTACAGTAGCATTGAAAATACTTAGGAATAAATTAGGAATAACATTAATAAAACAAGTGCCTCAGGGCACGTGATTATGAAACGCTTGAAATTAAAGTTGTAAATAAATGGAAAGACATCCCATGTTCATGGAATTAAAGATGTAATATTACTAAGATTGCAATTGGACCCAAACTGATCCACAGATTCAAGGCAATCACTACCAAGATCCCAGCTGTGTTTTGGTAGAAATTGACATGCTGGTCCTAAAATTCATATGGAAATTCGAGGAACCCAAAATAGCCCAAAAAATCTTGAAAAAGAAAAAAGGTGGAGAACTCACACTTCTCAGTTTCAAAACTTTGTACAAAGCTACAGTAAGCAAAACTCTGTAGTATTGATGTAAGGACAGACATATAGGTCATGGAATAGAATTAAGAATCTGGAAATATACCTTCATATTTATGGTCAATTGATTTTTGGTAAGGATGCCAAGAAAATTCTATGAGAATAGTCTTTTTAACAAATGGTGCTGGGACAACTGGATATCCACATGCAATAGAATGAATTTGGACACCTACCTCAACCATATACAAATATTAACTCAAAATGGATCAGACACCTACATGTAAAGGGCTAAAAATTCTTTTACCCTGGCTGAGTAAAAGAAGTCAGACACAAAGATCACATATTGTATGGGTCCATTGCTATAACATGTTCAGAAAAGGCAAATCTATAAAGACCAAAAGTAGATTAGTGGTTGCCTAAGGCTGCAGGGAGCGAAGGAGCCGGGGATAGGGAGGGTTGGGGAGTGACTGGTAATAGGTATGGAGTTTCTTTCTTAGGTGATGAAAATGTTCTAAAATTAGATTGTGGTGATAGTTACACAACATTGTGAATATACCAAAAACCACTGAATTATATACTTTAAATGAGTACATTATATGGTATGTGGATTATGTCGCAATAATGCTATTAAAAATATTGTGATGAATTCAGAGAGAAGGATATGATATGCTTATAAAAGTTAAGTCACTTTTTATCTCTGTATTATAAGGGACAGCATCATCTATGCTGCATCTTCTTTGCCACTTTGGTAAACAGTTTGATCACCTACCTGTTCCCGTTCATGCTTTGCTAATTGTTGAGAAAGAGATTCGCTTGCTTTGACTCCCCGAAGCATGCCTGCTTTATTTTTCTTCAACTCAGTACCATAGTCTTCATGCACTGGAATTGGTGGCATCAGCACAGACCTCATCTATAAAAAAATGCATGCTTTAGCCAAACCCTATGCTTGGTGAGCTGAATGCAGAAATTTTAGTCCCAGTTGCTATTCTGTCTATATTGTTGTACATCAACCCAATGAAAACACATGGTCACCTTTTCCATCTCACCTCCCTCACTCACCTAATGATCCACCAATCTTTATAAAGTTAGCTGTTAAATTCTGTTTGTACATTTTTCAACTAGAGACATCACCCTACAGGGCAAGTTTCCTATTAGAGTTTCTAAGGGACCCCAGAGGCACAGCTGTCAGTGCTAGACATATTCTGAGGCATCATTACAGGAAATGGAAGATGCTACGGAAAAAGCTGGTCTCCCTCTGAGCCTTTATCTATAAAAGGGGCTAAGAGGGAATCAACAGGCTTTGGGCTCAGAAATATTTCTTGGGAGACTAGCTGCTTTTCATTTTGTCATATTTTCCTGGAGAAATGAGAGAAAGTACATCTGTGTCCAGGAAAGTCCTCAAAGGGGACATAACTTGAAAACTATGGAAGCTCTTCAACTTAAATGCAATGTGGTCTCAATCTGACCCTGCTAGTAATTAATGATGTTCTCTAATCCTGGGGGGGGGGAATGGTGATGCATTTCTTTGGAAAATAAAATGTCTTTTTGATAGTATGCCAATTACAAGAATCCCTTCTACATTCCGTTGTATAACCTGAGACTATAATTTTTTACATTTATTTATTTATTTTTTTTATTGTTAGTTTCAGGTGTACAGAACAATTCAATAGTTATCCTTTTCACCCTTCACACAGAAACAACCCCCTCCCCCATCTACTGCCTTCCCACCCCCGATATCATGCTTATCTATTACAATTCCATTGACTCCATTCCCACACTCTACTCCACGTCCCGTGACTATATGTATATATAATTATAGTTGACATACAGTATTATTCAACATCAGCTTCAGAAATACAATGCGGTGGTCAGGCCTCCATACCATATATGAAGTGGTCTCCACAACAAGACATGAGCTGAGACTATAATTTTATACTTGATTCTTTGCAGCATCCTACCCTTATACAACACAATTTGAAACAATACTTGTTATATTGGTGGTCTTAGTTCAGTGAGGAACAGTTCTCTGTGGTAGGCCCTTAGTTTCTTCCATAAACTAGGCTGTATATGAAATCTTACCTTTATTCTCAAAAATAAAAATTGAATTGTGTTCTGAGGTCCTATCTCATTGAGATGGTTGGAAATTCAATCCCAGTTATTATGAATGAGTTCACAACCTACCCTCCCCATCTCCCCCAGCAAATGTCCCCAGGTTTTAGGCAGAGCAGAATATTCTGGGAGGATACTCAGGACTTGTGTCCACACAGCTTTGATAAGCTCATTGGGCGAGGCCACATGATCTCTTAATTATGTGTGGCTCTGCTGCTTTCAAGGACACTTGGAATCAGGATGCTTGGCCCTAGTCACTCCCTAAGGCAGCACACCATCATTTTCTTCTGGGGGTCCTACTAGCCATCCCTTCCCACACCCCCTGCCAGGGAGTTTGAAGAATACTGAACCAGATTCTTGGCCTTATAGAATCTTCTTTCTCTGTCCCTCTGCATTGGCCACCCACACGCAACCTGCCCACCTTACAAAATCCTTTGAGTGAACCTAGAATGGAGGTTGTCATCAGGTTCCCCCCAACCCTCCCCCTCCCCAATTAACAATTATACCACCACAACAGGTATAAACCAGGAAGCATGGTCACCCTACACTTGGAGGGCCCTAAGGGATGGGATAGTGGGACTTATAAAATTGGACTTGAAAATTTACTTTTGTATCTCATCTGGTAGAGTTCCAACAGCTTGAATCTACTACTTTCATCACAGCTCAATTATATTTAATACAACAAGTATGTGCTGCCAGTTCAACCTCACTCTAGGGGGGTAGAAGACATAAAAAATATACAAGTCAAATTTCTATCTTTAAAACCCATCTTATGAGTAGGTGGAACAGTGATCCCCAAAGGGCATGAAATTTGAGGTATCCTGGGAAAATTCCTGGCCCACAAATTTCTCCCCGGGGTCTGTCTCGGTGACTGAAATTCAAACCTCAGTTCTAAGTATCAGGGGAAAAAGGAGAAAGTTGGAGAAGAGAGCTTTATGTTCAGAGCTTACTTGATGCTGTTTTCTTCATCTAGGTAATTATATTTAATCCTCCCAATAATTCAATATGGTAGGTATTTTTAGCCTCAATGTCTAGGTGTGGAAACTGCAGCTTAGAAAACTTTAGTACCTTGCCCAGTTACCAGGCCAGGAAGTGGCAGATGCAGGATGTACAGCTAGCTACAGCTATCTGATGTCAGAGCCTTGTGGTGTTTACTAGGTCAAGGTGGCTCTCAATTTGGGGCCTCCACAGAGATAGTGATGGGCGTTCTAGAGACACAATCCTAGTATCTCCAAAATCCTAGAGAGGTTACCTGCTCAGGCTAACCTCAGCAAAGGGAAAGTTTGCAATCTGATCAATTGGTAGTAACTGCCATAGCTGATCAGTGCTGTTGTCATAAGGCAGGCGGTGGTGGAGTGTCTCATTCCTGCCATGTGCTTGCCAATATTTGACTGACAAAAACATCATGTTCCCTAGCTCTTGGCTAGAATCATATCTACTCATTATGTTAACACTGACTATCTCATGTTGATCGAAATGTCTTATTCACTATTTGCTGATATCATGAGAAAGATGCCTTAAACTAGGGACGGCCTTAAATTAAAATTTATTGCAACTGGGATACTTTCTGAAAAGTCAAGGGAGGTGCTATTAACAATTACACCAAGACAACAGGTGTAAACCATGAAGTATGGTCCTCACTGGGTGAGGCGGGGAAGGGGGCTATGTAAAATCGCCACAGAATCAGGAAAAGGGTTGTAAAGAAGTTTTTATCCAGTTTTGTCTTGGGTTTGCCCTGCTTTGGTCTCACATCTCTTAGGAGATAGTCAACAAATGTTAATTAAGTACTTACTACATCACAGGTGCAGGGGTTACATCAGTGAACTAGAGAAGCAGGGGAGGACAGTAAACAAATGGTACCACAATCCTTATTCAACTTCGGGAACTGCTATGAAGGATATGTACAAGGGGCTTGAGAGCAGAAAGAAGGGGACCTGATATAGTCTGCATGTCGTGGAAGGCTTTGCAGAGGAGGGCTATATCTAAGCTGACATTAAAAGGATGAGAAGTTTCCACTTCATAGTCGGTGTAGAGGCCTGACCACCGCACTGTATTTCTGAAGCTGATGTTGAATAATAATGTATGTCAACTATAATTATATATACATATAGTCACGGGACGTGGAGTAGAGTGTGGGAATGGAGTCAATGGAATTGTAATAGATAAGCATGATATCGGGGGTGGGAGGGCAGTAGATGGGGGAGGGGGGTTGTTTCTGTGCGAAGGGTGAAAAGGGTAACTATTGCATTGTTCTGTACACCTGAAACTAACAATAAAAAATAAATTAATTAAAAATAAATAAATAAAATAAAAAGATGAGAAGTTAGCAACAATATTATTATTCACACGTGTATAAAGGTATAAGGGCTCCCACAACTCAAGGTGAATAGGGGTCCCCTTTCTGTCTATATCAAAGTAAATTCCGGCTCTAGACCCCACTTGCCTAGATCGGTTGGAAGCTGATTATCAGTCTGGAGGTGTAAGGGTTCGGGTTTCTCACTAGGACCATATCTGATCATCTAGCTCCAGAGCTGCTACTGGTCCTCATGCCCATGTGGCACCCCTTATGTCCCTGATGTGGAGGCTTGGCTGGGCTCTGGTACAGGAGGAAGACAACTGCAGTCGCTCTGCAAGGCCCAGTCAGAGGAGCCTGTCACAAAGTATGGGAGCTTCACAGACCCCACATAGCCACTTCCCTCAGGGGTTTTATACACATGCCTGCTCTGCTTCTGTTGTATTTAGTATGATTGTTTAGGTTTAAAATGCTTCCCCCAAAATCACACTGAACCATTTGGAGTATATTACAAGGGAAAGCACATCAATTCAGAAATAAAGTGCTGTATGATTCTTCTTATATGAGGCACCTAAAGTAGTCAAATCGATAGAGACAGACAGTAACATGGAGGTTGCCAGGGGCTGGGGGGCAGGGGGAATGGGGAGTTAGTGTTTAGTGGGTATAGAATTTCAGTTTGGGAAGACAAAGTTTTGGAAATGGATGGTGGTGATAGTGGTGATGGTTGCACAACAATGTGAATGTACTTAATGTCACTGAACTGTACACTTAAAAACGGTTAAAGTGGTAAATTTATGTTATGTATATTTCACCACAATATAAATTAATTAGAGATTTTAATTTTTAAAAATCAGGATTTTTCACTTTTAGAAACTATATGAAACGCCAACATTTTCTTATTTTCCCACTTTCATCATGAATTTAAAAAAATTTTTCCCCTATATAGAAGTTACCCATTTAATTCTTTATCATACAATCACAGGTTTTCTTAAAAGTTGTACTAATCTTTTCAGAGTTACAATAACCACTAAAAACACAAATACACAATAATAAATGAAAAGAGAAGGTATACATCCCCATATAAATCTCTGAGACAGGATTCATGTAAACATTCCTCTTACTTTGTTTCTTTCTATACGTTGGAGTAAATTCAAGTCTGTGGACTCGGATATCCCACCATGTATGACCAGGACTTTACTGTCAATGATTGTACCAATTGGGAGCCACATATAGACTTCTTCCAAGACTTGTAAGATTTTCTTTCCATGTATCTGTAAAGTAAGAACTTGAGTAAGTTTCCTTTTTCGGATAGGTTCAAGTTTATTGAATAGTCCCAATGTGTGGACAAAAAACACCACCCAAAGGAAGTCAACAAGGGCGTCACTAACCCACTAGCATATATTAATCATGTCTTTTTATCCTACATTTTTAATACTTGGACATCTTGGAGCCTTGATGACCCTGGAGGAGAGACTACCCCTCCCAGGACTAGCTAATTCCTAGAGATAGTAAATGACTTGCTTTTCATATGCAAAGTAAAATTGCCTTTCATATGCAAACCAATCCAGAGCCCACGCCCCCAACCACCTCGTTTATGGGGCATTCCTTCCCCTGGAAATCACAATAAAGGCTCTTGCCCACGGTTTCCCCTCACTCCCTCTACCTTCTGACCAACCCTGGTCTTCCCCATGTGCCCCCAATGTGGTGTGCTGTGCCTCCTGTTTCTAGGTAACTGTGAGTAAAACCCTCTTTGTTCATGACAGCCATTTTCATGTCTGCATGTTTTACCATGCCCAAATAAAACAAAATCCAAGGTACCTTTAAAACAATGGAATACGTTTATATCTGAAATTTACACAAAAGTCACAATGAAAAAGCTTGGTTCAGTTCAGGAAGAAAATTAAGCCTCTACCATGGCCAGGGCTTCCTGCTGTGCTCTTATTTTATTGGTATGGATTCTGACTAGTTCACCCATCACCTTTCCTGAAGGCTCCTTTTTACTTCTATGTATAGACAGCAAAGAGAATACAAAAAAAAGGCATATGAGTCTTACCTTATATTTACGCAAGATTTCTTTTGTGAAGCCATACCTGAAAAAAAATGGAATTTAAAATATTTAATTAAATGTTGATAATTCCTCCTCTTACAAGAGTCATGCAAAAAGGGGAGGCCTTGACATCTCACTATCACGAATACCAACAACTCAAGACACTAGACTTTAGTTGGAACTGACTATTACTTAACCAAGTGTTTGCTGGGCATGATGGGAAAGAAAGCCACCAACCAGGGCCGGCCGAGTGGCTCAGTTGGTTAAGAGCTCGCTCAAGAGTTTGAGCTCTGATCAACAGCGGTTCGAGTCCAGCCCAAGCTGAGCAGCCGCTGAGCTGCCAACAGGTAGCAGGATGGCTCAGCTAAAAAAAAAAAAAAAGCCACCAACCAGAGACTTCGTCCCAACCCTTAAGGAGCTTGTAGTATAGTTGGGGGAAGAAGATATATTTTCATAAAACAATCACAAGACAACTTAAAAAATATGTGGTAAGCACAGGTTGTGTCAATTCTGCTGTGTATTCAGAGAAGTGTGCTGTGGCAGTTGGGGGAAGCTGTGTGGGAGAATGCTTTTCATTTATAGAGTTTCTCAGACCTCCTATATCTTTTAGTATATGAATTATAGGGGGAGAAAGAAAGACTGAACAAAGACAAAGAAAAGCCTAGAAGATAAACGAGTTAGCTCTTTATACTTACTCTCTCTGATATAGCTCATGTAATGGTACTGAAGGTTTTAATAGAAAGTGTCAGGAATTTTAAAGCCCAAATAGCAGTCGCTGAGGGAGATTTAACAATGGAATTTTTTTTCAATTACTTTTCCTTGCCTTAGCATAATAGTATCTACCCTTCAGACCCAACATGGTGAAGTTGGAACTCAACATACTCACCCTAGGTTTCCATGCAAATCATGTCATGTCAGGCTTCTACAGTGTAACATTATCTTTTCTGAGATGAATTCAGTCCTGCACTCACCAAAGGTGTCCATGTTAAATCCAATGGACACCTGGCAGGCTTCATCTTCCTTGCCCTTTCTGAAACACCAAATACATTTAACTACACAGTCCCCCTGGAAAACATTTCTTCTCTTGGATTCCGGACAGTAAACTCTCCCGGTTTTCCTCCTACCTTTCTTGCTATTGTGAATCTCCTCTGCAAGTTCTCCTCCACCTAGCCTTAAATGCTGATGTTCCTTCAGACCTTCTCTTCACTTTCTCTCTTGGCAATCTCATCCTTGCCCAGGGCTTCAGTTGCTATCTATTGGGTTGTTGGAGAAGTCATGACATATATTTTCTACGTTTTTCGTTGCAAAAATACGTCATGACTTTTCCAACAACCCAATATGTGCCAATACTGGAGGAAAATGCTCCAGCTGCACTTCGTTTCTTTCTTTTTTTTTTTTTTTAGCTGAGCCATCCTGCCCCCTGTTGGCAGCTCAGCGGCAGCTCAGCTCAGGCCAGGCATTGAACTGCTGTTGCTCAGAGATCGCACTCTTGAGAGAGCTCTTAACCAACTGAGCCACTCGGCCGGCCCCTCGCACTTCATTTCTGAGTTCTGGACATGTATACTCAACTGCCTATTTAATAGCACCTCAATCAGCTTACCCCAAATTGAACTCATCATCTTCTCTCATTTCAATGTTCTCCTTCTATTATGTTCCCAATATCAGTGTATGATGCTGTGTACCCCCAGACTCAAGCCCAGAACCTAGAGGTTATCCTTGATTCTTTCCTCTTTCAAGTCCCCATATCACATTACCAGGTCTAAAATCATCACTGCCTAAACTCCTCTTGAATCTATCTACTTCTTTGCATCTCTGTCCCTACCACCCTAGCCTAAGTGAGAATCCATCATCTATCTCTTCAACTACGTCTTAACTGGCCCCCCCATATCCACTCTTGCCCCTCTCCAAATCACTCTTCCTGCTGCATTTTAAAACACAAATTTTATGGTACTTCTCAATGACTTTCTGTTGACCTTGAAAGAAAGTCCAAATTCCATTGCATTATCCAACCATTTTTTATGTCTCCAGCCCTATCAGACATCATCCCCTCCCTCAGTCTATGCTCCTGCCCTCTTGAACTTCTTTCAAGTCTAAAAAGTCTTGTCTTAAGCTCTGCGTAAGTTGTCCCCTTACTGTGGAACACCATGGCCTTCTCTTGATTGCCTAATTCATCCTCCAGGTCTCAGGCTAATGCCATACTTCCATGGGTGAACTTTCTGTCACCATTCAGACAGGTTGGGTCCTCACTGTACAAAATCATCACATTTGGAAAACCTGCTCAGTGTGTGTCTTGCCTGCTAGATGTAAACTCTATGAGGGCAGGGGCCATGTCTCTTTCATTAACCACTGTAGCACTAAATAAATATGATTGGCTCACTGAATAAATGAAAGGATAAATGGCATGCCCAAATAAACGTATTGAGCTATATTATATATAATGGGCCTCTGATAATAGTCTTGGAATCTTTTTCTTCACAGTCTTAGCATTCGCTTCTACACCTAAGAATTAGAATTAGAAACTCTGTACTCTGGCCAGGTGCCAAAACTGCCCAAAGGACAAAACTAATCGGTTGCTGAGCTTTGATCAAGGCACCCAAGGGCCCAGGACCAAAAGCATGAAACATTCCATGCCTTCTACTGCCCTAGAACAAACTGGTTCCTGTTTTTCATAAAACAAGTAATAAAAGAAAGAAAAGAAGGAAAGAGAGGAAAGAGGGTGAAGAGGGAGGAAGAAAAGGGGGAGAAAAAGAGGGGGGAAGAAGCAGAAAGAAGGGAAAACAGAACATTTGTCACCTACTATGCCTTTCAACAAAAATGGGTAAACCATTTAACCAATCTTTATTCCTCAAATCTCCAGTGAGTCAGATAGCTGAAATGCTATGTTACAGCTGTTCTCAAATATGTTTATGAACAACTATGCCAGAAGCAATTACCATATCATAAAAATATACACATCAGTGAAAAACACAGTACTAGTTTCCGAAACAACATCTGAGACAGCCAAAAGAGTAGCAAAAGAATGATTCCATCTCAGCCTGCTCATAGAACCTACCACACCTCTGAACCTGGCCTAACACATCTACCCAGCACACAATTTGGACTGTGTGTAGGGTGGGCTTGGGAAGAAGAGAAAAAACATAATAGAAGGGATAAGGAAGAACAGAACTGGAAGAAAAGATAGGAAGGGGACTTCAGAACAACGTATACTCACTCAGTAGAAGACTGGGGGTTGTAGATATGGGTAAAGAATTGCGATTTTTCCTTGAGATTCCCCTCAACCCTACTTCTCTACAGTCACCTCTAACTCTCTGCTAGGAACTAAACATGGCAGCATTTTCCATAATGGGAAACAAAAGAGGAAATCTGAAGGCCTAAGTTACCTCACATTCATCAAAAAATCTTCATGGTTTCCTCTGTTCAAGAGCACGTCTTCGGGGTAGACAAGAAAACTCACAAGCAGGATCATTAGGATCTCTATGGAATTACTTCCTCGATCTACAAAATCACCATTAAAAATATATGGGTCGTTTCCTGAGGGGAGACCATTCTGTGGAAAGAGGAGAAGGGGGAAACAAGCAGTTAAAAGAATGTACTTTTACAGCAAGGCTTTGTATTTAATGTCCCTGTGAACATGGAGAAAGAGGCTGAGTTAGTTCTTCCATTGGGAAAAATCTGCTCAATTGCTTTGGTTTCACTCTTCCAGGGCAGGCGTCTCCTACAAGGGGCTCGGAAGTGAAGAGTTAGCTTGGGACAGGAAGATTCTGGGGGAATAGGGTTTACTCATTCTACCCACCACCTAATATGAGTTTTCTCTGAAAGGAGCTGATATCTGTCCTATCAAAAATGGCTGCTCACTTCTCTTCCTTCTACCCAAGGAAGAACACTGAACTAAAAGACAAAAGTCTTCCATTCTAAGGGGCCCTATGTTTAACTTCTCTGGGCTGTGAGTCCCTCAATTCACAAAAAAGGGATGACACTATATCCCCTTCCCCAGATCAAATGAGACAATGGATACGAAAATACCCAGGGAAGTGCAAGGCACCATGTAACTGTGAGCAGGGCTAATATCCCACCTGTACACTCTGATACAACCACACCAGGCACTGATAGCCAGCGTCTGCTCTCACTGCTCACTGACCGGCCATATTGGTTGTCAAATATTTTGATTACCACTCCTGAGTATGAGATAATACTTTTAAACACAGTGTTAGCATGAAAAAGAACTGGGATCAGGACAAAGGTCTGGTCTTTATAAAAGCTATTAATTCATTTGCTTCTGTATTACTAAAGTCTAAGATAAAATAAACATGTTATGCCTCTCAGGCATGTCATGCCTGGTAGAGAAATGGTTGAGTGCACGTTTTTGCATAGTAAGATAAATTCAAATGTTTCAAAACTACAAAGAGAAAATTTTAAGTACTCATATACCAAATATATGTCCTCCTTCAAAAAAGTTACCTTCAAGAAATAATACACATACTCTAGTTATATTAACCGTTTTCAAACTATCTTCAAATTCCTCTTTTGTTAGATTTCAAATGATGTAAGAAAATCTTATTACTTTATACTCACCATCGTAGTATTTATATACATTTAAATTGTTCACATCAATATAACAGAAATAGTTGCAAAAATATAATACAGGCTACAATATATAACTTAGGGATTCCAGAAATTACTATGCAATGTAATGTGTTCTAAAGGCAATTGGAAACAAACAAGCAAACAGTGGCATAGTGTTCTGGACCAGAAATAAGACTTACTCTTTAGTCCAGCTCCACTATTACCCATGTGTCCTTAGGTAAGTTATTATTATTTTTTTTTTAGCTGAGCCATCCTGCTACCTATTGGCAGCTCAGTGGCTGCTCAGCTCGGGCTGGACTCGAACCGCTGTTGCTCAGAGCTCAAACTCTTGAGCGAGCTCTTAACCAACTGAGCCACTCAGCCGGCCCATCTTAGGTAAGTTATTTAATCTTTATGAACTGTAGTTTCTTCATCTGTAAAATGGGGGTGACTTCCATACTTAGCACACAGGGCTACTTTGGAACTCAAATCAGACTGTGTGGATAAAATTGCATGAAAACTATAAAGCACCATACAAATTAAGAGATTCATTTTGTTATGACCTTCATGTTATTTCTAATTTTAAGGTCCCATTATTTTACATTTTCTTATACATGAATTCATGTAACTTTATTGACACTGGGCTTAGATAACATGAGCCAGTTGCAAACTATAGGCTATTGCTCACCAAAACATAAAGAAAAAGGAAAGGATTCTGCATCTCTGATACTCTTCCTTTCCCCAGCCTTCCGCTGTCTGGGATGAGTAAGCTGGAAGAGTCTGAGGGGTGCTGGAGATGATAGGCTCTGTGGGGTGTCCACCCCTGAAGAGAGCTAGAGGAGCAGCAGCAGAGAGCCCTGGGGTGAGGACATGGAAGAACTAGGCCTGATGGGACCTGTGGATCCCTTGATTAAGGGGAGACCCTGCCTCGGAGCATGTGTGTGGTCCTGGTTGGGGAAGAGGGGCCTGGATCTTACTAGAAAAAGCATAGAGGAACTTCTTCCGTATCTCTGGAGCTAAAAGAACATTAACACTTGTACTTAGGGACACTTAGGAACATAGAAACCTCCTCTCATACTCTTGATGCAGGAGAAGAAACTGTTGTGCCTCCAACTACAAAATGTCTAACCTAGCTTAAGCAGAAAATGGGAAATGGAAATGATCTAGTACTTAAGGGATCTAGTAACCAGAAAAAGGCAGACCAATCAGATCCGCTAAAGTCTTGTCCGCTAATGAGACAGGACTGCTGGAGGAGACAAGACTTTATTTTAAAAATAATAAGAGGACCATAAAATAAAGAACAAAAACTTAATAATTCTTGATATTTAAAATGTGCTATTTAAATATCAATAGATAACAGCTAAGTAAGAGAAAGAACGGTTGGAAAATACATTACTGACCTGAAAGAGCAAGCAGATGAAAAATCTCTCACACAGAGCAAAAGGCAAAAGATGGAAATCATGAGGAATGAGTAAGAGATTAGAATTCAGAGCCAAGATAACTAATATGCCAATAATAAGCATTCCAGAATCAGGAAAAAGGAACATATGGAGAAGAGGCAATAATTACATAAACAAGAGAGGGGCTTTTCTGTGGTTAAAAAGAGACTTCAGCCAGCAGTTTGAAAGGGCTTATGACTCCTAGGCATAACTGATGGGGAAAAGATATCCCTATTACCTGTTAAATGTCTTAGAAGCTGCCAGACAGAAAGAACAAATACAAAAGGAAAAGAATCATCCTGGCATCAGATTCCTCATCTGCAGTAGTGGAAGGCAGAAGATAGTGGAATAAAATCTACAAATTAAAAGGGGAAAAGGATGCTCACTTCAGCAGCACACACCCTTTAAAGGGGGGGAGAAAAGACTATGCACCAAGAATTCTATATTGGCCAAGACATCATTAACCTCTCAGGGTGACAGAAAATCATATGTATAAAGGACCAAATACTGACAACAACATAACTGTTCTTCAGGGTGGAAGAAAGACATATGTGAACATGTAGTGATCTAATACCACAAAAAATGAACATGTATTGATTGCTTTTTATGAATTAGAGACAGTTTTAGGTGCTAGAAACAATGAAGTGAACAATACAAAGTCCTTGCATTCAAGGAGCTTGCATTCAGAGAATATAGCGCCCACATGTACCATAGAGGAAAACACTCCAGAAAATATTCTAACCAAACACCAGCAGTAACAAGAGAAAGCCTCAAACCAGGGAAAGACCAAGAGGAAAGAATACAAATGTGAACAATGAACCTTGCAGTGTATAATTAAATATAAATCAACAGTGATAATGTGGAACTTGCATTTAAGTACTAAGCAAGGATTCTAGAAATAGAAAAGGCATACTATGAAGGAAAACCTAATAATCACAAAGAACTAAAAATATGGTGTGAGCAATAGCTAGGATTTGCAGGGGAGGTGAAGGGAGAAAAGTAAAATTCTCTACAAATCTCATCTGAATGTGGGACATACATGGGAAAGTGTGGAAATAAATACATTTATCTTACTGGAGGAGAGAGAGGATAATGTTGGAAGAATACAGTTATAGCTATTTAAGAAACACACGCATGTTATTTATTTAAAATGTCAACATTGGGAAGATAACCACTAGTGAATAGAAAAGCAAACTAAAAATGTCAAAGAAAACAACAATAAAAAAGAAAATTTCACCAAAACAGCACAAAGAAAAAAAAGGGTGAAACAAAGTGAAATAAACAGCAAACAAAGTAGAATAGAAGAAAAAATTTCAAAAATATCTGCTGTTACATTAAATGTAAATGGATTAAATTCTCCCTTTAAAATACCAAAATAATCAAACTACATTAAACACAAACTCAGTTACACATACAGTTTGTGAGAAACATGAAAAAATTGATAAAGGAAAGTTTAAAACAAGATAAATGCAACAAAGAGAAAGCAAAAATTCAAATATTAATAGTAGACAAAGTGGAATTTAAGATTAAAAGTGCTGCCGGTTCAATTCCCGGCCCGAGCTGAGCTGCCAACAGGTGGTAGAATGGCTCAGCTAAAAAATAATAATAATAATTTTTTTTAATTAAAAAAAGATTAAAAGTGCTAAACAGGATCACACAGCAACGTTGCATCATAATAAAAAGCATTTTTGGTGGGAATGCAGATTGGTGCAGCCAATATGGAAGGCAGTGTGGAGATTCCTCAAATAATTAAAAATAGAACTGCCATATGACCCAGCAATCCCTCTCTTGGGTATCTGCCAAAAAAATCTGAAAACATTTATCCATAAAGATATATGTGCGCCAATGTTCACTGCAGCTTTATTTATGGTGGCCAAGATATGGAAACAACCAAAGTGTCCTTCGATAGATGATTGGATAAAGAAGATGTGGTGTATATACACAATAGAATACTATTCTGCCATAAGAAAAGATGAAATAGTGCCCTTTGTGACAACATGGATGGATCTTGAGATTATAATGCTAAGTGAAATGAGTCAGACAGAAAAAGTAGAGAAACATGGTTTCACTGATAAGTGGTATATGAAACTGAAAACAACGAAAGAACAAGAAAAACAAATGAAGGAACAAAACTCATAGACACAGGCAATAGCTTAGTAGTTACCAGAGGGTAAGTGGGGAGGGGATGGTAGATGAGGGTAAAGGGGATCAAATACATGGTGATGGAAAGAGAACTGACTCTGGGTGGTGAACACACAATGTGATATATAGATGATGTATTACAGGATTGTACACCTGAAATCTATGTAACTTTGCTAACCATTGTCACCCCAATAAACTTTAATTAAAAAAAAGCATTTTATGAAAAAGATATAACTCATGAACTTGTATTCAACAAACAAAATAACACATTTTGCTTCATATATTTAACTACTACCAATGCAAAAAGTTGTTTAAAAATACAAACATAGTGAAATATTGTTTGAATTATTTTACACAAATTCTTTGACATTCCCTTTAAAAGGTGAAGCCTAATTTGCCACCC